TGCACTGTTGGTGTCATTAAGTCACAAACTGAGGGACCTAAAATTTACACCATATCATTGCCAGCTTCTGATATTGGACAGCATTTTGGATGGCTCTTAGAAAGTGGAGAGGGAACTGACGTAAATTTTGAAGTTGATGGTGAAACCTTTGCTGCCCACAAGTTGGTGCTTGCGGCACGCTCTCCTGTGTTCAAGGCACAACTTTTTGGTCCACTGAAGGACCGTAATACTGAGTGCATTAAAGTTGAGGAAATGGAGGCACCTGTTTTTAAGGTTATTCAATCTCAATCTCTCTCTCTCCAAGGTTCTGCTAGTACTGTTTGTTTTCTTTTAGTTTGTACATGTTAGCACTCGTATGAATTCTGATAAGTTACAAAAAATGTGTGTATGTAACATTGGCTACACATGCATTTATCACCGTGGCTACTTAAACTAGTGAACTTCATTAACTCTGTGTTATGTCTATTTTATGCTTCTGCAAGTATTTTTGATGCTGTCTAACTTCACATGTACATCCAGTGGAGCTTATATGAACAGTTTTAGTTCTTGTAATCCTTGCTCTGTGAATTTTACAATTCTGTCGTACTAAAGCATGATTTTATATCCTCGAATGTATACCTGGATTCTTCTTATTAAGATGCTGCTTTTGCAAGCAAATCTTAATCCACTAAGGGTTGCCCTCCTCTTGATGCTTTTCCTTTCTTGCGCTAACTATGATTGCTTCTTGCCCATAACTTGACATGATAACATGCTGGAAATTTGTGATAATGTATATAATATGATAGTGGTGTTGGTGAAGGATAGTGCTTACGCTAACTATGATTGCTTCTTGCCCATAACTTGACATGATAACATTTTATTTCATATCATATTTCTTACAAAATTAGTTAGAAATAGTTTTGCTTTCTACAAATAGAGGTCCATCGTTGATTCAGTGTGGTCAATATTTAAGAAGTTTTTTGGGTGAATATTTAAGAAGTTAATTAGGTTTATCAGTGGCATGGCACCTGCTTACTAAATATCTTGACAATTCCATGCCTGGATACCAATGCTTTTCAATATGCATCCTTAAATTTCCCTAAAATCATGATTATTCTGTTTCTATGCATTTAGACCTTATTGCAAGAATTAAATGTTCTGTCCTGTCCTGTCTTATGATTCTTCTCTGAGGCATAAAAAAATGCTGGGTTTTGCTAAGGTCTGTTTGCTCCCACAACTATGCATCGGGATTAAGCGAGTTTGCACAAATGTAACTTATTATTATCTCTTTTTATTGTTGGCTATGTGCAGGCTTTACTCCATTTTATATACTGGGATTCTCTACCTGACATGCAACAACTTGCGGGTCTGAATTCTAAGTGGGCTTCTACACTGGTGGCTCAGCATCTGCTTGCAGCAGCTGACCGATATGGACTTGACAGACTCAGATTGCTATGTGAAGCTAAACTTTGCGAGGAGGTTGCCATCAACACTGTAGCAACAACTTTAGCTTTGGCAGAGCAGCATCATTGTTTCCAGTTGAAAGCTGTATGTCTCAAATTTGTAGCATTACCTGAAAACTTGAAAGGTAATATTGTCGATGCCCCCTTGTTTTGAATTTTTTCGGATGTGTTTAGAAAACTGTAGTTGCTACGAATACATTGTAGAACCACACGACATTTTTAAATGCTGCTCTCAATAGTATCTTTTGTTGATAGTTTCTTGTTTGTTTTTAGTGGCTGCCTTCTAGGATGGTTGTCTGGGGGTGGCAATGGGGCTTACCTATGTCATGTTCATGTCCTTTGGAAACAAAGGTACAATAAAAAGCATGGTTGCTTGCTTTGACTGAGGAATGCATAATTTTTAAAGGAAAACATAATTGCATGAACAGTGATCTTTTAGGGAGGGTGGAACAAGGCCCTGGCAAGATATGGCTTATCCTTGTATGTTCTACTTGTCTGTCTCATCCATTCATTTTTAGCAAGAAGTCATGTTTGACTGTCCTTTTAGGCCAAGTGGTAACCCTGTGTTGTCTCTCAACCTTTGTTTTAGGGATTCATGTTCGCTTGTTTTCTTCATGACTAACCCAAAAAGTAAATACAAAATAAATAAATGAAATGTCATGTGGTTGTACTTAACTTTCCTTTGTTCTTGATAGATAACGCTACAAAACTAATAAAGAGCCAACTGTTTCTGAAGCCGCAGTATTTATTAAATAACCTAATTGAATTATCCAATTCCTATCTTGATATAATCATGATATGACTGAAGGTCTATGTTCTGTTTTCAGCTGTGATGCAAACAGAGGGGTTTGACTATTTGAAGGAAAGCTGTCCCTCTGTCCTGACCGAACTGCTGGAATATGTAGCTAGCCTTGGCGAGCATTCTGTCATTTCGTATGGATTCAGGAATGAAACCGGACTTGATGGTAGTGATGTGAATGGAAGGCGGGTAAAGCAAAGGATATACTGATTACTGACAACAGACAGTTTGCATCATTCACCGTCCATTGATGATTGAAAGAGGTGATAGGATTTAGATAATTTGAATTGCACTATCACTAGGCAATTTATATAGGAAACTTGATGAGTTCCTTTAGTAGATGCATTTAAATGTGAAAGGTTAGCAGTTTTGCTTTCTGATATTTATAGAACATGGCTTTGGAACTTTTTATTTTGTATGTTTTTAATTGTGTAATTTGAGTTTCTTGGATACTGAGATGCTCCTTTTAAATCTATGCATTTAAGCAGACTATGTGTTGAAATTTTTACTCTCTCCTCTTTTTTTGCTCATTGGCCAGTATGGTCCGATTGTAAGATTGAATTTTTGAAAATTCAATTGACTGAAGAGTCAAAAAAATTGACAACTTTCAGTATACTTAAAGGACATTATCACTGGAATGTTATTCCTTTTGGTTTAAATATAGTACCACAGGTATTTCAACAGTGGATGGATACAATCTTTAAAGGTCTTAAAGATTGTAGTGTAGTTTATATTGATGAGATATTTATCTTTTCTAAAATCCGGGCAGAGCATAAGCAATATTTAAAATTACTTTGTGAAAAATTCTACTGAAGGGTTTTAATGCCCTAGTAGTGGAAAGAATGGTTTGCACACAATCACCATATCTATTTGCCAATATCACTCCTCCAGGTGGAATGCAGTGCTCTGCTTCCTAGTCCTGCAGTTCAGGATCAAAACTGTAAAAGAAATTTCAGCACAAATTTGCTTGGATTCCATTGCATGGGGAATTATTTTGTGGCTTGATTTATTGATTTCACAAGGTAGCTGTACCTTGATTATCCCGAAAGAAACCTTCATTGAAGTCTTATGTTTTCCGAAACAAAAAAGGAAAGTTTGAAACCATTGATATTTTTATATTGTTTCTTTAAAAGTAGGTTATTTTAAAAAAATAAAAATTCTTGGCACACTTTGAGCAGGTTGCCAAACAGCTGTGTTTTTCTGAAAATAAAAACAGAAAATGGAAACACAACCAGACGATAAACTTATCTAGGTAGCTGCATTGTTCATTTGGAAGAACATCCTTGGCATTTTTTCACATTGCATATAACGAAGGCCAATACTGGTCAAACAAATCCATTAAAGGTCTTGAACTAGCAGAAGCAGACGTTTTTCACATTTTGGGTTGAATCCATAATTACTTAAGTGGCTGGCTTTGTTGAGCCCGTAGGGATCCACCACAGGTCCTTGTTTCGATAATTTGAACCGATCAATGTATAGAACTCGTCGAGTACTATATGCCTGTAAAAAATCACATTGATCATATATCGACAATTACGTGATTAAATCAGTTTTGTATAAAAAAATAGACGGTGAAAAAAATAAACGATAGACAGAAATTTGATCCGATGAGATAACTATTAATATTTGATTAACGTGATTTTTTACAAGTATATAACTTAACCAGTTCTACACATAGAACGATTCGGATTATCGAAACGGAACCCGTAAATAGGGATGGCAATCTGAACCCGGCCCAACGGGGACCCGACCTCGATTTGAGCGGTTTTTTCCCGAAAAATATCCCCAACGGGACGGGGATGATATTCAAAAATCAATCCCCGATCACTTTTAGGCTGGGGTCGGGGATACGTGTCACAATCCCATACCCGGCTAATCCCCATCCCCGTTTATCCCTGAAATGAAATTACTATTTTACCCTTAGGTATATATATATAAAAACCAACCCCTTATCACACTTTCATTTCTCCCTCTCTGTTTGACCGTGTCTTTCGTCTCTCTCTCCCTCACTCACGTCTCTCATCTCTCTCATCTCACTGCTTCTCTCATATCTCTCTCCTCACTGCTTCTCACGTCTCTCATCTCTTTCATCTCTCTCTCCCTCACTCACATCTCTCATCTCACCATGTCACAGCCCCGTACACAGGACCAGGATCGTGGTTCGATCTGAACAGACCGTGGTTCGATCTGAAGCTACCGATCTCTCTCTCTCTCTCTCGTTGATGAACAAATTTTTTTGAAGCTGAAGCTGCAGAAGCCCTCTCTTTCTCTCTCTCTCTCTCTTGTTGATGAACAAATTTTTTTTTTTTTAAAGTTATATATATACATCTGTAGTTGTCTGTTTGTGTTGATGAACAAATATTTTTTTTTAAAGTTGTTACATATATATATATATATATATGTATCTGTTGTTGTTGGTGATGGTTGTTGATCTGAACAGTTCTTGTGTGTGTGTGTGTTGAGAATTGTCGGGGATATTTCGGGGTCGGGGAAACCCGATCCCTGTTAGGGGATGGGAGCGGGGAGGTGATGGGTTCCCCGTCGGGGATTGGGGTCGGGGCCGGGGAGATTTTCACAACCGGGATCCGGGACGGGGAGGGTGATCCCCGGTCCCGCCCCGCCCCGTCCCGTTGCCATTCCTACCCATAAACCCCACGGGCCCAACAATACCCTCCAGTAAAATACATATATAATATCAAGTATTTCTACACAGGAGTTGGAAGACTTAAAACTCTATGAAAGTTCTCACAATAAGAGACTAACAATAAACCATGAAATACATTTTATTTCCAACAAACATTCACTCATGCCTAAGAATGCTGAACAGCTTCTTTAAGAAATACATCATAAATCATACAAAGTGTGATTTGTAAAACAAATTCTAGTCTTCAACAGAGTTATTTCCTACATGTTTCCCCACCCTATATTTACAATACAAATTAGATAAGCTGATTTTAGAGTATATATAAAAGAATATAGTTGCTTACATCTGTTTTGCAAAGAATGGAAAGGAATGAGAAAGGACTTAGTAAAAGGATGTCAGTTCAAGTTCTTGTCAGTTTAGTTCATATCTTCACATCCTCTGACTCTTGTCTTTGATCTTTAATCATACCTCTGTCATAGGCTGGAATCAATGCAAGCCCTTTTCATACTTCAATGTCAGAGAGTTCACTTACATTTGGAGAGTTCACATTTGACATCAATCTTGGATGGAATGTGATTAGTGATCACCACAAGTTGAATATGGAATTTAGGCATCTGGGTTGTCCACAACTCGAGCAAAACACCTCTACGTGATCAATGCCAGTGGCTTCCAGATCCACCTTGAGCAGCAGCCACTTTCCTTGAAACGTACTGAGGAGGCTTTGGCTGCAGCACACTGGATCCTTCAACTCCATCTTCTCTCCTCTCATTTTTAGAGCCCGGGTTTCTTCTTGAGGTAGAAACAGCATATTGAGTTGGAACAGCTGGATTCCTAACCATCCTTCGATGTTCAAGAGCCTCTGCTCCACAGTTGTTGTACCGCAACACTGAGCCAACCACTTTCCCAGGCCTTGCAGCAGCAGCACCTGCTGTGAAGGTTAAATTTGTTGAAGAGTCAGATTCTAAAAATTAGAATGAAGTAGGCAACAAGGGGTCATCCCCTGAGGCCACACGACTCGGGCAGACTCTCTACCTGGGCAGGTGCCTATTTCACTTTAGGAGGTATCAGAGTGGAGTTTTGGGTAAATTCCTTTCATTAAAGGGTGCTAACAAAAAGGGCATACAATTTTGATAAAATAGTGACAATCAAATATATGATGATGATGATTGCAAACAGAAGCGATGATCATAGAAGAAATTCACACCGACAGTGGGGGGAACTTGGAGAGGCAATCTTGTCTTGGGGATCCCAGAAATCCTGTCCACGTGTGGCTTTTCCACCTCTTTGATGCAACATTTGGTAAGATCATTTGTGACTTCTGCTGAACTCTGCATTGAGTTATCTGATGAATATAATACACATGGCCTGCATCCAAATTCTCTTATCAGAAATCAAGAATGATGCCAACGGTGACAGATGTATCAAATAATAAATGAAATCTTTTGGATATGTTAAAAAAAATATATAAAAAAAAAGTAAAGCTGCATGTTAAAGGCACTAATTAATGATGATACCTAGGTAATGATGCGTGTTGCCTCTCAGGTGGAGCAACAGTTCCACCATTTCCATAGTGCTCCTCAAGGTAAGCAAATTGCTTCTTGAATTGGTCAACAGCACTGTGAAACAGAAATGAGATAATTTATAAAAAAAATCCATAAAATTATATCACTACAATAAAAAAATGACACGCTTTGCTAGTAATGAATGGCCCTAACTGAAAAACAAAAAGAAAAAACACAAAACACAAAACAAGGGGAAAAATACATTTGGGCCCATTTTAAAGGGTGTTGCGATATCTTACTTTAACCCTCTCCAAAAAAAAGAAAAGAAAAGAAAAGAAGAAAAAGAAAAAAGAAAAACAGAAAACACAAACAAGGACATCTAGGGATTGAGCATCTCACAACATAACCAACCAACTCAAAAGTGCATCTAGGGATCAGAAGCATCAATCTGGTTTATTTTTACTACGTGTAAACTTGACGGTTCTCCTACTTCGCACTTACATTTAGCAGCTCATTGGAACCAAGGACAGCACTAACATTTACAATAGAGTTTTCAGGTGATAGGTTTTAGGTCATTAGCTTAAAGCTTAATGAGTGGAATAGCATACATACATGTCATTCCCATTGAATCTTCTTGAAAGACCAAAAGAAAAGCGACAGCTAAACATTTAGCAAGGAGATACTTCCAACCTAGTCACAAAAAAAAAAACAAAAACAAAAAAACAAAAAGGGAAAAAAGAAAGTAGGGAGCAAGGGAGGGCGTTCAGACTTATGCTTCCAGCAAAAACTGCCTTTAGGCAAATTTACTAAACACTCATCCATTGTTTTGAGTTTGGTTATACAATGACTTAAGGTTCCCACTGAATCAAACAAAGATTTTTTTTTCTCTTTCTTTTCCTCTATTTATTTATTTATATGTTTGTAAGTTGATGAAACAAAATGTTCTTCAAAACAAGTAGGAACTATAATATGGTTCTCCAATAACGGTAAAGTCTCATAAGAATGTATGGGTCAAAAAAATTGACGTGTGATGGCAAGAGTAGAGCATGGCAGAAAAATGGAGAACCTTAGAACCACCATTTTGTAATAATACCTTGGATACATGAAACCTGTTGGTTCGGCTCCTTCTAAGTGCTCTTTCAACATGTTTGGATGGTATTCAAGAATCTCTCTATATATTTGCTCACGTACATCTTCCTTTGTTACCCTTCGTCTTTCAAAATCAAATTCCATTTTTGTAACTGGTTGAGCAGAAGACTCTCTCTCAACCCTGGCCAAGTTCTTGAAATATGGATCTGCAAGAGCCTAACAACTTGCAACATAATATGCACTATTAGAAGAGGAACACTCATTGCACAAGCTAAAACAAAAAATTTAACATCAAGCACCTCTTCAGCAGAAGGTCGATCCTTCGGATCAAATGCTAGCATTTTTTCTAGCAAACAAAGTGCACGCGGATCTGCATTTGGGAACTTCTGGCAAAAAGGAATAGGCCTTTTCCTTCGCATGCTGCTCAAGTATCTACGTGCTTTCTCATTTCGTATCTGTAAGCATTAATTCAATGGTTGAACAAACAGGCGAAATAATGACAGAATATTTAAGCAATAATAATTTTTGCATTATGAGAAAAATTCATCACAGTAAACAGACCCTGGCTATGGATTCAGGAGATGGTATTCCCAAGAGATCAGTCATCAAGTCCAATTGGTGGACTACATTTTTCCCAGGAAAGAGAGGCTTTCCAGTTAACAGTTCTGCAAATATGCAACCAATGCTCCATATATCTATTGCAGGTGTGTACTGTAAACAAGATAGACCATGAATCTAAATCAGAAACAAAGATACAGCACAAATTACTGGTCCATTATAGTACTAGTATAATTCCAACATGAGAATTAGTTGTTCAAATTTAAAAAAGGGCAATATCTCATTTTCACTGGACCCTCCCTTATCACTGTTAATTTTGGTATTTTAAATCTTGCTGTCGTAGGAGACTAGTTGATACATAATATTAGTAAGTACTATGTGGATTAGGCAGTTAAATTTTCTGTTGCTTTCAAGGAATGGAAAGTGGCAATAACTCTTGCACCTTAGAGAAAAAGGATCCGCACAATTCAGGAGCCCTATACCATCTCGTTGCAACGTAGTCCTATGAGCACATCAAGGAAGACAATCATTAATAGTGGTATTGCTAGTAAAAGTGCATGTGAATGTTCGTGCTGTGTGTTTCCTAAGCCCTTAAGCAACTAGAAGTTAATGGGGTGAAATTTTAACCAATTAAATGGATAAGAAGAAACTTACTGTCCAAAATATAGCAGTGGGGGTATCATTAAAGGCCACCCTTGCAAGACCAAAGTCACATATCTTGAGTTTGCAATCAGCATTTGCTAAGATGTTTTTCGGTTTTAGATCTCGGTGAAAGACATTTGCTGTAAAACCATACATTAAAAATGTCAAAAAACAGAACTGAGAGAAACTATACTAGTCACTTACTGGTTTTAGGCAATATGTTTTCAAATATGATATGTTACAAAGTACATTCATTAGAACTAGGGAAATCATACTCGTTATGCTTCTTTTAGGTTGTATACATTTTCACATACGTTATATTACTTACGAAGTATATGTATTACAATCAAGCAAGTGTAAGGCAGTCATAAAATAGAGTTATGAGATAGTGGCAACATATAACCTGTGTGAATATACTTTAGACCTCGAAGAAGCTGATAAAGGAAGAACTGATAATGTTCTGGTGTCAAATCATCATTTGCTTTAATAACCTGGTGCAGATCAGATTCCATGAGTTCAAAAACGACATATATGTCTTTGAATTCCCTTCTGGATGGAGGCAACAATATATGTTTGATTTCCACAATGTCTGGATGACGAAGGAGTCTAAGAAGCTTAATCTCACGAAGAATGCGTGTGGCATCAGAGACATGTTCAAAAATATCATTAATCTTCTTAATTGCTACTTTTTCCCCAAGATGACTATCATATGCAGAGCAAACAACACCATAGCTTCCTTTACCAATTACTTCCTCAATTCTATACCTGCCCCCCTCACCATATTCCGTGAAAAAGTCAACATCCACAGATCCCTGCACAGACACATTAAAACATGCAATGAATGGTCAAAAACAAATGTGAGCCAAAAATGAATGAACACTGCTACATGCAGTTCAGACCAATATTTGACAAAAAAAATTGTGCCAATGATACAACCTTGCCTTATATTATGAAATATTAACATTACAGGTTCAAATATGTAACAAAGCCTAATAAGTGCTTAAATTGGGCTTCACAATTCCAGTTTTCCCATGCCGTTACATTCAATGACATTGACATCTATAGACTTTTGTACTAGCAATGCAGATACTTACTCTATTATTCTAGATTAACAATGAAAAAACAAAAGAAATATATTAATTTCTTCAATACGATTTCAGAAAGGATATCAGTATTTTATTCTTCTGAAGTTTAGATGGAATTTACGGCCAACCCAATTCAAATTGTCAGTGCGAGGCTATGTAAATTTGTCAATCAATACAAGGACATCAGCATAAGGCTGAGAGTTGTAATTTGAAGAAAAGTGTATTTTGGAAGAACATGGTAAAATAGAAGGTTTGAAAGAAAAGAATGGTCAAAAACTCAAGGTAACGACAGGTAAGCCCAACGTGTACCTAATAAAACAACCACCAATAACTAAAATGCTCCAAATTGACAAGGATAACTGCTTCAGTTTATACAGCTTCATGACACCACAATATCAAAGTTGCACCCATGATATATGCAACTTCTTACATGAAGAACATATCCTTTAGAGGGACCCAAATTGGAAGAGAACATAGGCATAGAACTTGAGACATAAACCTGTCAAATCTTTTCACCCCATCCACAAAAGCAGACATTGCTCCCACAGATTACAACAAAAGTTCAAAATCATCTAGTACTGAAAGGCACACTAAAAAAAGACACATTTCTTGCTCTAATAAACCCACAGTTTATACATATACACATACAAATATACATACATAAATAAATATATATATATATATATATATGATTGAAATAAGAGATTACCTTTTTTCGCTGATCAGGCTGCATCTTAGCAATAGAGCATCAAAATACTTGAAAGATCAAACCCTAAGCTCAACCCAGATAGATCACAAGCTAGGATCAAAAAGTTGCCTTTGCACTCAAACCAACCAAAAAAAACCAAATCTTCCCAGATCACAAGATTGCAACAAACCCCAAATACTCAAAAGAACTTGAGATCCAAACTCAATTACAAACACCAAAAGTGGCACAAAATCCTCAATTCACCACACAATTCAACGAGTACAAACCCCAACTTGGAACCCAGAACTTAATTTCAATTCAGAGAAAAGGGTATTGCCAAGTGTGTAGTAATTGAATCGAAATGAATGAAAAGAGAATGAGATGAAGCTGTGTTTTAAATGGGGAAGTACTTAACTTTGGGCTGTAATAACTATGTAATGGGTAGCTGGAAATGAGAGTTTCCAGATCGGTAGTGAACTGGTTTTGGGTTTCCTAAATTGTTCCGCTAAATTGAGCCAAGAATCTCAAATGGCGATAATCTCTAATACTATGCAAATACATATATATACATATATGTATACACATGTATGTGTATATATTGAGGAGCTAAAAATTGGAAAACCTTTGGGTTTTCTGAAGAAAAATAGTTTAGAGAGAGATGAGATTTTGAGAGAGAGAGAGAGAGCGAATGGCCAGTGCTGCTTCAAGTTGAAGGGTCGGGAGAACAGAAAGGGATGAAGTAAAAAAAAAAATTTTGGGTTAATTATAATTAACACCTTATATTTTTATTAAAATTTCATTTTAACCCTTTATTTTCAATCATGACACCGACTTTTTAAGCAAGTCACTATTAACTTTCCGGGTTAACAACGCAGATAAAATTTAGCATAAAAGCAATTTTGTGACATTTTTATGTTCTTGCAAAATTCTTGCAGTTTACTAAAATCACAGTTTTCTTTTTATTTTATTACAATCCCAATTTTTATTTTTATTTTTTTGGTTACAATCTTATCCTTATCTGAAATTAAAACCAAAAAATCTCAAAATTTTAATCCTAATTTTTCAACTTACTCACGTTTTTATTATCATCTTCACTAGGACCATCACCATCATTATTGTTGGGGCCACCATTTATTATCACTGGCGCTATCTCCAATCCTATTTATGGCTTACTTCCGCACATCCTTGCTTATCATCATCGTCATCATCATATATTTCTTTTTCTTCTTATGAAATACTAATCTCTCTTTCATAGAGGTGTATGTGAAGGTGGTTAGGTTGCGATGATCACAATGGAAATGATGGGTCATGGCGAAAGTTAAGGGAGATTGCAATGGGATAGGAGGTTGGAAAGGGAGTTGCAAGTAAAGAAGAGAGTTACAATGGTCAAATATAGAAAGGAAGGTGGCTGGTTCGTAAGAAAGGTGGTCATAGTGGTTGGCCGTGGTGGCTAGAAAAGGGTGGCGGTGGTGAAGGAGGTTGCCGATGGGAAAGGGGTTGGGATTTGGTGGTCAAAGGCCACAATTGCTGCAAGGGGTAGTGGTTGGGCGTGGGTAGAGTTAGGATTTAAAAAAGTGGTAGTAAGGATGAGGATAAATTTAGTATTATGGTGAGTGTAAAAAAAAAATTTGAATTTTTGCATGTAATATAATGCGAAATTAGTTATAATATAGAATTATAATGACAAATTCTGTTTCTCTCAATATTAAAAAGACTTACCTACCAAATGAGGGGTAACAAATTTACCATTGGATTAAACTTCAGTTTACTAAATTTCAAGACCAATAAAGGTTTGGTACAATTATTATGATGCTTTACAAAGATACTTTATAAAAGTTTATTTATTTATTTAAATAAGGAGGTGATAGATCCACTAGAAGAAACCTCAACTCAGTCCATAGGATAGGCGGCCCATCCTATCCAACCCCATGGAACTCCTAATCTTTTCCATGAAAGTGTTGATGTAAATATTTTACCAAGTTAATTGATACATGTCAATATTGTAATTCATTCAATTTGGGATAATCTATTTTACCAAGTTGATTGACACAATTCAATATTATAATTCATTAAATTTGAAAGGGATAAAGAAGGTATAATAATAACAGAAGATATAATTTTTTACGGTGAAGACATCTATTGAAATTATTTATTTAGCTATCATGCATGAGATAACTTTGTAATAATAATTTTCAATAAGAGAAGCATTAAAAAATAAAAAAATTGGTAATGAAAAAGTAAATGCCGTGGATAAGTAAGGGACCTAAGAATGAGAAAGTAATTAAATTATATTTCATAAATAATTATGTAATAAAGTTCAAAATTATGTACTTGAAGTCCAATAATAACAACCACTACACCGATGTAAGAAAAATTTTTATAATGGAAAAAAGTAAACAACTTAAAAAAAAAAAAATCCCTAATGGAAAAAAATTAATTTTTAATTTTGATAAAGATTGATCATCTAATTTCTCAATTAAACTTGTACAAAAATCACTAATAAAATTACAAATAAAACTATATAGAAGTGACTAATTAAACGACTCAATTAATTCTGGTAAGAGATATATACTAGGTTGATTTTATGCCACTCAACCGAATTAACATTTGGTTTCTTATGACATGTATGGCATGGGAATAGATTTGGTCAAAAGTCCTATGTTTGAATGAGATTAATTATCCAAATCCAGTGGTGCATGACTGTCTGGATCCCCCAATTCAGCCTAATCATTGGTTGAAAATTTTAATTAGGTCTCATACTTTTTGTTTTATTATTATTATTATTATTTGATAATTCAAAGCATTTCTTATCTAATCTAGTCTAATTAGATCTAAGACAATCAAATATTAATATTTAGAAATTCTAAAATTAATGATTGAATAAATTTCTACTTATCTTTGAGATACTAAGTGCCGTTTTGAGAACTCTTAAAAAACGCTGCGTTTTTTGATCTGGAAACAAAACGCAGCAATGTGCAAAAAGCTAAAAACGCCATTTGGCAACTTCCCAAAACGCAATTTGGCTAATTACAAAACTAGCCTCAGCTTAGGTAAATTTCTTCAATTGGTTGATGGTATTTTGGTAATTTTATAGTGATGTGACACTTTTAAAAAATATTAAATCAAAAAATAAAAAAGCCAACTTTTTATCAGCTTCCCAAAACACCTCCAAAACTCAAGAACTTCTGATACTAATCTAAAGAAAGAACTTCTGATACTAATCTAAAAATTTCTAATCCCACTTGTTTGTTTGTCCATTGTTTATAATGTATTATCCAGAGGAAAAGTGGGGCTCATCTTTCTCCAACAAATTTGTGTGGTGATGAGAGATCACTAGACAGCCACCACACATTTTGACAAACACCACTAAACAAAAAGTCATTGCCAGTTGCCAGGCAAACACTACCTTCACATATATAACACCAAAAGTATATCCAAACCTTCACATATATAACACCAAAAGTATATCAAAATATGAACTGTCAATTTTTTTGGTCCATAGCCTGCAACACATTGTGCTCTTTGTAATGGAGTTATTTGACATTATTTATTTATTTTAAAAAAAAAAAAAAAAAACTTCATTTTGCTGTTATGATTTATTCCATATGCGGGTTACCTATTATCATTTTTCTTGATATGTCATCTTTGATATAACCTCATTTGATATCATCACGTCATAGAATATTGTGGGGATATATTTTCAGGATATCAACACGTGGCAAGGTAACGCTGACGTGTTAACCAAGATTTCACTTGTCTTGACCGTGATGCCGAGATAATCCCGGCATGGCCGAGATTATCTCTGAAGATATCGGAGCCCGGGATAAGCGGATGGGGGACAAGAGTCCTAGCATAGAAGAAGACTTCAGTTTGAGTAAAGATAAGACTCTTAGAGAATTTATCCCAATCCTATTGGGAGTCCAAGATTAACGGTAATCCTAAGTCCATTGAAGCTAGGCTTTCTGCTAGGACAAGGATTGAGACAACCATAAAAGAAAGGCACCCCCGATGGGTCTAAGGTACGCAATTTATATTCAGAACTGTGAATTTAGCACCATTGATTATCTTTGAGAGATATTTGGTTATTGACTTGACCGTCGGAGTACTCCCGGGTGGACGAACCACTGCCGGAGTCTCTTCTTTCTGTTGCAGGTCAGCTAGGTGTCATCTATTCTGCCAGTGCTCTCCAGTTGAATACTGAGTTGGCAGTGTAGTCAGAAAATCACTCACACAATTTGGCGCCGTCTGTGGGAAGAAAAGAAGGATAGATGGCCAGTAACAGACAGCAAGAAAAGATTGGGGACGATACTCCTGCTGGGAGTGAAAGACCTATCGACCTCGATATCGAATGAGACAACCACAACACAGAAACTCGTGACCAGAATCACAAAGCGAAAGACGTCGGCCAGGAGGGCGACACTTCAAAGAAGACAGACCAAAGCAGGTACTATAACGAAGAAAACCTTCAGGTATGAAGGGATAGGTGCCTACGGAGGGACAAAGAGGTAAAAGAGATGGCAAACAAGTTGGCAGACCTGCAATCGGTCGTCAACTTCATGATGCAAAACAATGTCATGCAGCCACCATTCCCACTGCAAGACACGCCGATTCCAGCGGCTAATGCCTAGAAGAGAGGGCAGAAAACAATCCCTATAGCCCCTCAGCACACCAGGAGTGAAAGACACTCTCACCGGCCTTCAAGGGAGGTCGGACGAGGAGAGTCGAGAAAGGAAGAGTCACGAAAGACGCACCGCACCAAGGAGGCGGACCCCAAAGAACATCGGCATGTTCAGGGGCAGGCACTATGCTTCGACACACCTAACGGAGAAGGGTCGAAAAGGGCTCGAAACGAAGCTGAGAGTAGTGCTCCGAAAAGACTGAAGTCAGGAGACAGCCGAGCTCCTGGCCGGACTAAGGAGGACTTGAGGGATTACCTCAAGAGGAAGCAGGATCATGCCCAGGTAACATCCACTGTTAAACCGAGAACACCATTCTCAGTAGAGTTGGACAGATTTAAGGCGCCGAAGAGATTCAATATGCCGAGGTTCCAAATATATGACGGTAAGTCAGACCCCAACTTCCACGTTGGACTGTACTTGAACTCAATGGCATTATATAGTGGGAACGAGCCACTGCTCTGCAAAGTGTTCCCCTCATCCTTTGGGGAGATTGCATCAGATTGGTTCCACAAACTGCCAAAGGGAAGCGTGAAGACCTGTGAGGGCCTGGCCAAGATGTTCGTGGCCAGGTTTGTGACAAACAAACTACAGCCCCTAAGGGTGGACGCATTGATGGCCCTGAAAATCAGCAAGGATGAAGGCCTTAGGGCTTACGCAAAAAGGTACTACGAGGTGTTCAACCGAATACCCGAGTGCAATCAAGAAGTGGCGGTCGTATCTTTCAAAAATGGCCTAAAAAACGATTGTCCATTACGAAAGTCTTTGGCAAAAACATTGCCAAAAAGCATGGAAGAACTCATGGCACGAATCGAGAAGTATGCCAGAGCCGAGGAAGATACGTCCGGTAATAAGGAGATAAAGCAAGAGAAGGAAAACGGCTCGCCGAAGCGAGGCCGAGGTAACAACGAAGCCAATAAGCAAAAGGCAGAACTGAGGGCCACACAAGCAGTAACAACTGTGTTCCGAATCCCGATTCCCAAAATCCTGAATCGGATTCGGAACCAACCTTATTTTAGAACACCAGCGAGGGCACCAGGAGAGTTTATGGGAAGAAAC